ATGGTTATCATTCAGTCACGAAAGTGGTATTCTACGCCATCGGACGTGGAAAGGATTACTTAGGGACCTAATTAAAAAGTTAAATCTACCTCGCCTTGTCCCCTCCAGTGGCCAACTCATCAATTCGACTGTAGTTGTTGGAAAAATCAGTTGGGAAAAATAATAATAATAATAATAACGACAAAGCAACAGTGATAGGTTCTTTGCTGCGGACGCAACTTTACTTACCAGATGTCAACGAGGAAGCGATCCGTATAATCTGATAAAGTGCTTCTTTCACATAATCGGAATTCGGAAACTGAGGTACCTCATCAGCCGCGATCACACGTCCTTCATCGATATATACGTAGCACACGTTGGCCTGTAAGGATGCGTTAGTCAAGCACCGTTTAAGTGAATGCAAATTTTAGGTAATCCTTTGCACCAGCTGTATCAGATACATATATTGAAATCGCAACGCCAATTACGGAGAACTGTTTGGGAAAAAACAATGTTATCTTTAGCGCACTATCATCATAGGCCTTTTGACGTTTTGTGTAGGGTGTAGGAGTGAATTACAAGGACCAACTCCTCAATTATGGGAGCCGGTAACCTAAGGTTAAGAACTATGAGCGGCAAACGCCACATGACAACAAGACAGGATACGCATGGTGGCGAGCTGAAAACCATGATACCCATGTGCACAGGGCCTACAATGCTTCAGTATCGTTCGAGGGGAATTTTTCATACGCAAACAATCTTTACCTCTCAAATGCAGAATAGTAGAGATTTCCCTTGGATGTTTTTGAACCACGGGGAAAACTGGGAAACGATACGTCAAACTACGCTGAACCCTGTTTTCTATTTGATCATGATGACAATAGAAACTAACGAGGTGAATTCGGTAGCAAACAGAAACAGTTCAGTTAGCTTCAATTTAGTTATTATACAAAATCTGGTTGATGATGATGATACTGCATTCATCTTCTTTCAATACGCATCTTCTTGTTTCTATTGCTCGCTTCTTACCGTTGTTTGTTCAGTTCTGGCTCTAGATGAAACGAAACAACGGCCCCTAAGTGACGATTTGCTGTAGAGTTTTGATAGACATGGATAGATCGTTCGAACCCATTACTCATGACTGAATGTGATGGCATTTAAGACCGAGAGATGAACATGAGAAGATTGAAAGTGTTCTTCCAGGAAATTAACCTTCTCATGGAATGCTGGCTCCAACTCAGTTAAAAACTGTGGCTGGTAAACTCAACGGTAAAACAGCCAAAATGAATCTCTCTAGACTTGGGAGATAAAATATGCCATCCTTACGAAAAACAACAAAAAGAACACTCAAAAAAGGAATCGGCTTACCTCGCTGGCCAATTCAACAGCATGAGGACGAATCTCATCTAATTTCGAGCCTCGCATCGTGGACGGCTCGTCCAAACGGTGTTCATTCGGACTGAGTTCGGGAGAAAACACTGTGTGGGATGGATGGGGTGAAGTGTCCGAACTGCTATATCTGATCCCCATGATATAGGGCACTGGTGCGTCGACAAAATGAGCTAGACTAAGCGGCAAAATTGGCGCGTAGACATGAGGCCAAACAAACGGCAGTAGAAGACATGTGATACATTCGGCCACCAACATTAACCGGTAGTATCCTGAAATGAGTGTGTGCAGCAAGGGAAGGGTAGAGAAAGATAAACATAAGACAATTCATGTGGTTGCGAAGATAGCAATAGGATGGTTAGTGATCTGCCAGCTAGGCACCTTGGCGAGAGATTCAGTATGATGATTGTATGCAATTAAATACAATCCCTGCATACAGGCAAGTGTCCAATATGTCAGAAGTCTCCTGGTAACATAAAATTCGAACTTTTCTAGCTGTGCACGATCTCTTTGATGGGCATCTCTCTTTTCCGCAATGAAAATGTGGCAAAGTGTTGTCGCTGGAGCCGCATTTTCTAGCTGAGATCTTCGTTGTCGTACACTAGGCCGAATAACTGAACAGAGGCTTGCATTGAATACTAAAACCGAATTTCAAATCACAGATGACCGTGTCGTTGTTGGAACAGCCTACTTAATCATGCTCAAACCAGGCGGTTTGTGTTCCTCCGGACCACGTTTTGACATGTGGTTTCATACCCCCCCTCCCTAAGCCTACATTATCAGGGCTGCCTGCAACCTCGCTAACCATTCTTGCACAATGGCATGTTCTATACACTTTCCCAAGCTTCAAAATGGGAACCTTATTCACAACGTTAAAGAGAAAAGTTTGCCACTACATGAACCTTGGAGCTTGAAACACAACCCTTGTGTCTTTTCATTCAGAAACACGTTTTGCGTACAAAACCCAAACAAGGGTTTAGTTGGGGTGGTGAAAGAAAAATCAAGGAATTAGTAATGCNNGGTAGAGGTAACCATTTTAGATTGTATCATTAGTACGACGCTTTATTGACCGTCCTGGACACCTAATGAGACTTGATACTTTGTCCAACGCAATGAGGTAAATGAAGCTTCAGAAAGACTGGACCCTATAAACTTTACGCTATCCAAAGGACCATGGGAGTTGTTCAGATAATCCAATTATATGTCCGCCTGGTGGCATTTTAACCAGTAAACTATCAGCGTTCATTTATTGGAATGATGGCTCCCTGGGCGCATATGAGTGGTCCGATCAAATCATCTTTCTCAAACTATCAAACTCCACGACAGGATTAGACCTTCGCTCCTCGAGAACCTATCAGTATAGGTAGCTGGGTTATGGAGTCAAGTAAGGATATACAATACGGATACTACGATAGTCACAATGATTGACCGCTGAATTCCCTTGACTTTGCGCTTTGGGCCCAACTTCTTTACCATAACTCGTGCATATCGCATGAGGAACGAGCTTTAGTGATGCTACATTACAAGCCACGGGACGCCTCGATCGAGGGTAATCATCGAAACGTTACCCTTAACAGGTAGGATTGGATGAGTACCGAAAAGTCATGGAGAAGTAAAAGGCGTCGCTTAGGGGGCCGAACTAAGACCGATGGTCGCAAGCAAGAATCAGCCGGCACATTTCCCAGGGCGTTTTGTTTCGTGTTACTTTCTTTACGGAACCTTTTGTTCACTGATTCTGCTCTTTACTTTTTAAATATGATTTCTATGCGAATCCACTGACAGACGCGCCTGGGTATATTGTTCTTGTGTAAGTCTCGCTCTTCAAGAGTTCAGTTATTCTGCATATGTTTGCGGCATTTCATTTGCGAATTTTAGTATGAAGGTAGAAGAAAGAACAGTGCACGGCTGATTCGTTCTTGTTGTAAATTATCAGCTGTGCGTACGACTTTTCTACTGCTTCAGAGGGCGTTTAGCAAGAGCACTACCATCCAGCGAACAGCGAACAAGCAATATCAGAGGAGACGAGAAAGAACTCTAGACAGATC